ATCTTGCCGCTCTCGTTTTCTTTATGAATCATTCTGTCCTTTATTCTTGTATTTAAGGGAACTAGTTATGTCTCATATTTACCTTTACCATTTTCTTATCTACCCAACACACCTAAGAAGAATATGTATGTATGTATACATATGTACATAATAATATATACAACATACATAACATATGCATGTATGTATATGTGTGTATATATGTATTTATGTCTACATATGTGTATATATACCATGTGAAACAAATTTATGTGAATTTCTAGACATGTTATGATTTTGGGATTAGATATTTTACATTTATACATTTGTCAACCTACTGGACTGTAGTAAGTTCACTGAGGAAAAGAAGAAAAAAAAACCATGACATCCTCTTCTTGGAACATCAGTGCCTACCAAGACATCTGTTTCTCAGTAAATGTTGGGTATCAATGCTGATCAATGTTAAAAAATACCCGTGAGCATTGTTACTCCACTACTGAGAGCCAAAGATGCCATGCTGCGCTCTATCGTTTTAGAAAGACCACAGACAATTAGATGGGAAAAGGGAGGCAATGTCTTGCTAGGATCCTGTGTATGCCTCCAGGCAGATGAGCAGCCCTTTTCCTAGGGAAATGCGTGGCAGGCTTCACGTAAGAGGTTCCCTCAATAACCAAACACTCCATTCAAAGGTTATATTTACACAGCTCATTAGGAAGATTTTTTTATACTTTTGACACTCATTAGACTCATAATCGTCCACTGAAGCTACTGCATAACAAGAGATAAACACTCCATTCTAGAGGATGAATAATTAGGTACTGCTCAGCGCTGCGCTCTTTACACGTCTAATTTTAGAGCATAATTAATCCTGTTGAAGCTGCATACGATAAGTGAAATATTTATGCAGCTGTGTTAATTCATGTATTTACTCCTAGAGAACATTCAGAATTGGTCATGGCTTTCCGGGAAGATATCTGAAGACACCCCCAGAGCAAATGGCATTTTCTCTCCCAAGTCTTTGCCTCCAGATGGCCTCTAGAGATTAAGCTGAAAAGACATATTTCTTAAACCCAACAGTCTGACCAGGAAGGCAATGAGCCAGAACAGAAAATATCTATGAGAACCTAGATGTTCTATAAGTATATGAACAAACCCCTGGCCTATCTAAATGCTTTTGCTGTTCATTTTTATTTGATGCAAAGAAGACCTTTTCTCTTTGGCACAACAAAAGTTCTTTCTGTGTTACTAACTCGACTATATTATTGCCAATGCAATACTAAAGAAGTTGTATTTGATACTAGAGTTATGCACAGGCAACTATGATGATGAGAAAGAGAAGGATGAAGAGGGGGAAGAGGGTTGTGGTGATGGCCATGATCATGGTGGTGACGATGGTCTTAATGAAGATGATGGCACTGGTCATGTTGATGATGATGATGATAATAATCATGATTGATGGTGATGATCATGGTGATGGTGGTGATGATGATGATGATAATGATAGTGATGATATCAGAGGCGTATGAATCACGGCAACTCCATCTTAAATAAGAGCTGGGTAAAATGAGGCTGAGACCTACTGGGCTGCATTCCCAGATGGTCAAGGCATTCTAAGTCACAGGATGAGATAAAAGACCAGCACAAGATACAGGTCATAACGACCTTGCTGATAAAACAGGTTGCAGTAAAGCTGGCCAAAATCCACCAAAACCAAGATGGCCATGAGAGTGACCTCTGGTCGTCCGCACTGCTACACTCCCACCAGCGCCATGACAGTTTACAAATACCATGGCAACATCAGGAAGCTACCCTCTATTGTCTAAAGAGGGGCACTTGTTTAGCATGTCATCAAGAAATAACCATAAAAATGGATAACCAGCAGCCCTTGAGGCTGCTCTATCTATGAAGCAGTCATTCTTTTATTCCTTTACTTTCTTAATGAACTTGCTTTGACTTCACTCCACGGATCTGCCCTGAATCCTTTCTTGTGCGAGATCCCAGAACCCTCTCTTGAGGTCTGGAGCAGGACCCCTTTTCTGTAACAATGATGGTGATGGCTAACGTTTATTGAACCACTTGTGTGTTCCAGGGTCTATGCTAAGTTATGTACTTTTTTTTTTTCTTGAAACGGAGTCTCACTCTGTTGCCAGGCTGGAGTGCAGTGGAGCGATCTCAGCTCACTGCAACCTCTACCTCCCGGGTTTAAGTGACTTCCTGCCTTAGCCTATCGATTAGCTGGGACTACAGGCATGCACCACCACGCTCGGCTAATATTTCTATTTTTTTTAGTAGAGATGGGGTTTCAACATGTTGGCCAGGATGGTCTCGATCTCTTGACCTCATGATCCGCCCGCTTTGGCCTACCAAAGTGCTGGGATTACAGGCATAAGCCAACGTGCCCAGCCTAAGCTAGGCACTTTACATGTATTTTCTCATTTCATCTTCACACCAACCTCATTAGATAAATATTTCTGTACCCTTTTATAGATGAGTAAACTGAGGCTAAGAAAGATCACTTCTTTCATAGAAATATTTTAAGTGGGACAGTAGACCTAGTTCAGATGTACACTAAATTACTCCTTCCTAAAGGATTTATAAATCTCAAGAGTTTAATTAGTCATCTTTGATAGATATCTTAGAGAATTAAATGTAGTAACAGTTGTCCCTAATTGGCTGCCTTCCAGAGTAATGTCCCTGAAGTAGAATCTTTGCCACTTACTAGCTAAGGGACTTGCCCTCTGAGATTCAGTTGCCTCCTCTGAAAAGTGGGAATAAGCAACATTTGACGTCATAAGGTTAGGAAGGTTACATTGAGGAACATATGTAATGCATCCAGTATGATAATTGATATATCCAAATCCCTAAATATGTTAGTTGTTTTACAATAGATGTTTTGAGAGTAACACCAATGGTAGGCGGGGCTAGAGTTAGAACTCACATATTTGACAGATGCCTATCACATTTAAAAGTTTACTGCCAAAAGAAATACATCTTAACATCAACCATTCGTCCATACACATATTTATTCATTCAACCCTTCATTGACCAATTACCTGCGAAGTTCAGCATTTTGTTGTGTAAATGCTGGAAATAAGACTCCTGTTTACCGAGTAGTTCACCCCTTGTACATCCTAGCCAGCCCTGTGATAGGCAAAACATTGGGCCCCAATTCTTCAGTGTACTCTCAGTGTTCACACCTTTGCCATAAAACTTCAAAACCTATCTCATGAAAGGCAGAGTATACCTGCAATCCCTTGACCATGAACTTGGCCACCTGACTTGATTTGGACTGAAGGATGTTAGCAGACATAAACGTGACCAAGCAGCAGCTTGAAATGTGCACATGCAGTTAGGTGTTCCTTTCTGTGCTTCTGACATAGCCAGTAAAAGAGCCTCCCTAGGTAGCTGCTACCCTTTCAGACTGAAACACAGAATAAACACATGTGGAGCAAAGGCCACACCGCTGATTCATGCGCTTCTAGCAGGAAGCAGAGGCACTATCCCCACCCCAGGCTGAGGCCCAGCTTGTCCACTCAACACGTGCTACCATAAGCAAAACAAATGCTTATTGTTTCATGCCTCTGAGATTTTGCAGCAAAAAGCTGACCAACACAGCCACAAATCATTATTACACAGCAGAGAACATGGCCAGTGATCTGAGAAAGGTATAAATGCCCTATGGGAAGTTCAAAGATTCAGATGTTCTTATTTGGGAGTTAAATATAAAACACATTTAAAATGCTTGATGGCACTGTGAGAATTTAGGGTTTAATTCTGTGAATAAAAAGAAGATAAGAAGCCACAAGGAATTAGGCGCTTCATTCAAATTCATATCAACCCTGTGCACTAACTAACCTCTGCCTATTTTGATATTGCATTTCACCATAGCAGTAACTAGATTTTTTTCTCCCACCTCTAGCCAGGCGTAGCACATTCTGTAACCATCTCTGAATATAGACTCCACCTATTTGAATGGGGCTTCTGCGCTATGGCCTGAGCCTTCCTATCCTCCTCATACTGAGCTCATTTTTGGTGTTAACCTGCTATCTGAGCTGACTTTTCTTTTCCTATTTCCTCAGTGTTAGCAATTAAAAGGAAACCAACCTGCCATTCCAAGCCATGGCCAGCCTCTAAAGGCCATGCCAGGAAACTCCAGGCTATAGTGAGATCGCCAGCTATAAAGTAGAAAGGGCAGACAGGAGGAAATGCTTCTGATGACACAGCTGGCCCAAGTGGCTGTGTAGTTGCACAAATGCCAAAATCTCATCAGAATGTAATACAGATTGCCTTTCCTTCATTTCTACATGGGATAAGAACATGAACTGCCATGTTGGTACAACATAACTCCACCCTGAGTCACCCTTGGTGAGTCTGAGAAAGAGTCTTTGACCTCAAAATGCATCAGGAATCCTTTCTCTGAAATGAGATGGGAATGATTACAGCCTAGTTATATAATTTTGTGCAGCTGGGTCTCTCAACCACAGCCTACCAACATGTGGAGTTGGATAATTCTGTGTTTTGTGATGTGGGGAGCTGTCCTGGGCCCTGTAAGGTGTTTTCCTGCATCTTCTATCCCCGGTCTCTACCCATCAGATCCCAGTAGCAAGCAGATTCCCAGTCATGATCACTGAATGTGTCTCCAGACATTGCCACATGTCACCTGAGGGACAAAATTGCCCTTCACCCTTTGAGAACCACTGCCCTAGAGAGAAGGCCTATGAATTCTCACTTAAGGCACCAGGACTTTCCTGGCTCCTTTTTCTAAACCTATTTAACTCTTTCCTAAATCCCCTGAGAGAGACTGTATCCTTAGAATACTTTTGTTTGTTAAATTTAGTTATCTAGAATTGCTTTCCATTATAAGCAACCTAAAGAACCATGGTTTCATGTGACAGGCACTCAGTAAATATTTTTAGGGAGCAAACTCATCATGCAAAGATCCATTGGGAAGTCCAAGAGCAAACACAGTGAGTGTAAGGGTTTCAAGTCCCCCTAAAGAAAGGGGTCACCCGGGGTCTTACCATCACCCACAAACTGAAGCAAGGCCAGGTCGATCTGCCTCTTCCAAGGAGAGCCTTTCTGAAGGGCAATTCCATAACCAGTTGTGGCAAAGATGTACCCACTCCCAATGGTCACCAGCTTGCAGCCTTCATCCCTCCCGGCCTTGTAATTCAAGACTGCAGCATCGTAGATGAAAGCGTCCAGCTTCCTGAAATGACAAGAAACCAGGGGGTCATAGGGGTGGACAGGTAACACCTCGGGGCCAGCTCCTGAGGCCTGATCCAGAAAGCATCACACACTTTATTTCATGCTGGCAATGATGACTCATGGCCTTTCCATCCCCTCGTCATAAAAGGATCTATTTTTAATGAGGAGATAAAAGCCAGAACCTTTTCTCTCCAACTTACAAGAGGCAGCTAAATAAAGACATGAAGGATTCATATACCCAAGTAAGTAAACAGTCGAGTTTGCTGGTTTGCTAAGTGTTTGTCCTTAGCACTCCCAATGATGGAGAACAGTGGCCTATTTAGAAAGGTTTGCATCAGAACAAAATAAACCACTAAGCGTCAGAAGAATTTGGTGGCAGTGTGTACGAAGGGGATAGGAACTAAATAGGAATGATATTTTTTCCTCCCAAAACAAATATGAGTGCTGCTTATTTATCATACAGAAATTATTGCAGAATTTTAAAAAAATCCAAATAATATAGAAAAGTATTAAAATATAATTTAAAAACTACCCATAATTCTATAACTCAGATGCAACTTTTGTTAACATGTTAGTGAGCAGCCTTCCACATTTTTTAATGAGTATGCACAAACACTCATACACACACACCAGAGATTGGCAAACTTTTTTCTATAAAGACAAGATAATAAATAGTTTAGGCTTTTTCTTATTGTGGGCCATGCAGTCTCTGTTGCAGCTATTAAATTCTACTGTTGTAGGGTGTTATGGCTGGACCATGTCCACTCCCAAAATTCATACTGAAGTAGGATGAACTCCTAATCCACTGTGGCTGCTGTCCTTATAAATAGGAGAAATCTGGACACAGACAGGCACACAGGGAGAACGACATATGAATACTGGAGTTATGCTGTTACAAGCCAAGGAACTACCAAAAGCCAGGAGAGAGGCCAGGAATAGATCCCTCCCTGGAGCCTTCAGCAGGAGCGTGGTCCTGCAGATGCCCTGCTTTTGGACATCCAGCTTTCAGAGCTGTGAGAAAGGCACACTGTTGTTTAAGTCACTCAGGTTGCATTCCTTTGTTATGGATGCCCTAGGAAACCAATACATAGCACCAAAGCAGCCACAGAGAATGTGTAAACAAATGAACTTTGCTCTGTTCCAAGAAAATGTTATTTAGAAAAACAGATTTGTCCATGGGCTGTAGTTTGCCAAACCTTGTTTTAAACCTGAAAATGTTATTATGCCACACAAACTATTTCACAAATAGCTTTCTTCTCTCATTCCATACCTAGGGAGTGCATTTCCATATCAATGAACATAGCACATTTAAATTCTTTCTTTCTTTATTTATTTTTATTGGGGTATAAAATATGTGCAATAAAATGCTTGATGACTTTTTATATATGTATACATTATTGAAGTCACTATGCAGTTCAAAATGTGGAATCATCATCACCTTAGAAATCCCGTGCACACCCCAGAAAACAAGCATCAGGTAATCTCTCCAATGGCACAACTGTGCCTAAATATTATTAGTTGTTGTTATTATTTTCAGATGGAGTCTTACTCGGTCACCCAGGCTGGAATGCAGTGATGCGAACTCAGCTCACTGCAACCTCCACCTCCAGGATTCAAATAATTCTTGTGCCTCAGCCTCCAAAATAGCTGGGATTACAGGCACCCCCAACCACTCCTGGCTAATTTTTATGTTTTTAGTAGAGATGGGGTTTCATCATGTTGGCCACGCTGTTCTCGAACTCCTGACCTCAAGTGATCCACCTACCTCAGCTTCCCAATGTGCTGGGATCACAGGCGCTACCTATTATTAGATCCCTATCAATGTGCCTGCATATTGTTTCTAAATGTTAAAGTTATTTAACAAGGCCGAAATGATCACTGTGGAATGCAGGGATGAATGTCTCAACTCTAAAATGGGTAAGAAAACTAAATCGGAGATGACTCAACTTCATGACACTTTCTCAACTTTATTGCCTTTCTTTCTTTAACAAGAAAACATAAAACAGTGAAGCAAAGAAAAATAAAAACGGCAAAGAGAGGATATGAAATGCTGCATCCTTTCAGAGACAGCTGCTGAAGGACTCCCTATGGGAACAAAACTGTGTGGTAGGTTTACAGCCGTGTTCTTCATTTTAATTTTTTTGTTTCTATAATGGTTTGAGGTGGTACAAAACTATAGGGCTTGTCTCATCCACAGAAACACTCTGAGGCTTTGATCTCAAGGGGGGCAGGATCAGAGATTTGGTTTTAAGCTCTGAGAGTATTTAAAGCGAACCAGATCCAGCAAAAGAAGAAAAGAACTGGGCATTGATAGGCAAGAGTGATGGCAACCTAGAGCCGTCATCTATAACCTAGAGCTTGGTTTGCTGACAGCAAGTCAGAAGGAACAGCCAGCAATACTGAGACCTGCAGAAATACAGGATGGAGAGTTATACAAGGTCAAAAGTAAATTGTGTATGTATCATGGGAGTAAGGTGTGTTACAGGAATACTGGAGTAGTAGGTAGAAGGGATCTGAATTCTAGTCTAGGCTAGAATGATGGTGTAAGCTCGGGAAAGTCACCTTCTTCTTTTGGATTTCTGGTTTCTCCTCTGTGAGAGGAGGTGGTCATTGTGGTCTTGCTGAGTTACTTGTTCAGCTGTGGCATTCTAAGATTCTGTGAGCCAATAGTCACCTTCTGTGGCTATTCATAAGGAAATTGAAACTCTGGATAACATATGTATCTTGAGGACTTAGGGCCATGGATAGTGTTGGTCTCTTGATGAAGCTGTGATGCTTGCAACGTCAATACTTCCAATATCTAAGTTGCCATGGAGATGTAGAACCTTGGTTTTGTCTAGACTTTCTAAGTCCCACCCAACTCTCGTCTCTCTATTCCTCAAAAAATAAACATAAACACACACACATGTACACATAGGCACATTCAAACATTAAGGCCTTCTGTTGGAATTCATGGGGTGAAACCTTGTCCCATCCTGCTAAGCCAGTGTGTACAAAGGTGCTGCTAGGCTGGAAATCTAAACATGTACGTAGCAACCGTATGAGAGTTGTCCAGAAGCAGTTTAAGTTGGCATTTTGTGGGCAGGCATAGACAGCTGATCAGTACTATATTTCAAGACAGGTCTTTTTGAGCTGAGCAACAAACAGCCATATGAGTACAAGGGAAAAAAAAGGAAGTTTTCTTTGGGAACAAAGTTTGTAAAAGCACAGTGCTAGAAAGTCACAGGACAGCCGCAAAAGATGTGGTTGATTCTGACAAAGCAATGACACATTGGCATGACTGGGGTGGGCTGGTGGTCATGCTCCCAGAGGTTTCTAGCCATGGAGGGGCACAGATGGGCAAGCCCCCCATGGTCTGACTGTCATCTTAGGGCCATGTCAGAACCAAAGTGATGACAACACAGAAAGGAAACCATAGGGCCACATGAACTGGTTTCTAGATTCTAGAGAGCTGAGGCCTACACACAATGGCTACAGACATCTGCATGTTTAAAAACATCCTGGGGAATACACGGTCCCCTCTCAGAGAGATGGTCATTGTCTAAGATACCATCTCATACCAGTCAGAATGTCTATTACTAAAAAGTCAAAAAATAACAGATGCTGGCAAGACTGTGGTGAAAAAGAAACAATTATATACTGTTGGTGGGAGTATAGACTAGTGCAACCATTGTGGAAAGCAGTATGGTGATTCCTCAAAGACCTAAAGACAAAAATGCCATTTGACCCAAAAATCCCATTACTGATATACCCAAAGGAATGTAAATCATTCTATTATAAAGATATGTGCACCTATATGGTCATTGCAGCACTATTCACGATAGCAAAGACATTGCATTAACCTAAATGACCACCAGGGATAGACTGGATAAAGAAAATGTGGTACATAGACACCATGGAATACAATGTAGCCATAAAAAAGAACAAGATCAAACTGATGCAGGAACAAACTATTAATTAAAACAATAACAAATGGAATCACTAAGAATCACTTTTAAAAACAGGGATGGCCATTGTCTGCAAAGTGCTTTACAAAATAATACCTAGCACTTTACAGACATCATCCCACTGGGGCCTCCCAAATGTCCAATAGCAAGATATTACTATTACTAATTATTATTTTCCTAATCTGTCTATGAACAGACAAGGTTCTGAGAGGCTAACGCAGCCTGGGCCTCGTTGGTGATATTTCCAGACTCTGTACTATAAAACCCTCTAGGACAACACTGTCCAATAGAACTTTCTGCAATGCTGGAAATGCTTTGACCCTGTCTACCATGGATATTGAGTACTTGAAATATGGTTAGTGCAACTGAGTTGTAAATTTCATTTAAATTCATTATTTTAGATTTTAATGTAGGGGTCCCACGTGCCTATGGGCTATTGCAGTGGACTGTACAGCCCTGAATCTCTTGTGGTGAGCAAGGGGAAGGCTTAGGGAGCAGGACTCTGGGTCTCCCTTCTTGCTCTGACCCAAAAAGTCTACTTTTGATCTGTTTTCTATCGGAAAAAATAATTGTTTCTGTTGTTAAAAAGAAAAAATATCCCCTAAATCTCTGAGATTTGCCATTGGGGATTTTGGGCAAAACACTGTATTTCTGAGCCTCAGTTTTCTCTGTGAAAAATAGAGCCAACAGTATCTGCCCTTACAGGACTGTTGGGAATAAAGTGATATTATATAAGTAAAGTATGTGTGCAATGCTCAGAACATAACAAATGCTCAAAACACACAAATGCATTTAATCAATTTCAGATTTTACAGCAAATGGGCTCACCGATTTTATAGACCCTATGGAGAAATCTAGTTCTGCATACTTTATGTACATTATTATCTATTTTTTTGCTCCTTCTCCCTGTGCAAGGATGGGCATACTACTGCTATGCCCATTGTCCAACGGAGAAACTGAGGCATTGAGCATTAAAGTGAATCAGCACCACTACCAAGTCTGCATGTGTCAAAAGTGGCATTGGGACCTATGCAGTCTGACACCAAAGGTCCCT